GCCATATCTATCCCCATGGCAACTAGCAACAAGTGAAACCAGTTAGCTTCAAAGGCTCTGCAGAGAGTGGCAGAGCCACATCATCAACAGTTGTCGCCCTCCTAATTGTAGTTGTGCTTTCCTTCTCTTTATATTCCCTGTCAAAAGATTTAGAATCTGGAGGGGAATTTCCCCTCTAGATTCTTAAGAAATATTAGGGAAATATTGCTAGGCTTTCACTTCTTAAAACCTTTTCTTCAAAATTTACTGGGAGATTCTTGGATTGCATTGAAATTGCTATAAAATAATCTTTGGTTAACCTTTTGGAACAGGAAGTCAAGCAAAGGGTTTTAGCACTTACAACAGATGTTAGTCCTCCATCCACTCAACAGGACTCCTTTGGCTGCACAAGCTCGCATGTAGGCAGAGAGGGAGGCACACATACAGTCCTCACTTTTTTCACAGTTACAAGTGTCAAACATGCAATTCTAGGAGTGCAGGAAGAAAATCTCATGAATAATACAATCTTCTGCCCAAAGAAATTTTACATCTACCTTTTGTTCTTATTTATTGGCTTCTTCTGGAGGTATATTCAGTTTTGAGCCATTTCTACTAACCTTTATTTTCATTTTTGAGCCATTTCTACTAACCTTTATTTTAACCTACCACCTGTTAAAATTTTTGTTCAGAGAGAATCAATAAAGATGGAGCTGTTTCCAATGAAAGAGGTAAACTAAGGGCCAAAGAGTTTGCTTTATGCTTAACAATATCTCATGCCCATCCGAATATAAAAATTATTACAGTGATTTTAGTTTAGCAACCAAAACTCCATCTAGAATAAGGACGTGATATGATCATATAAAACCCCCTATGTTTATATTTATAGTTGTTTTATTCGATTTCAGGCAAATAGCAATATTTTTTTAAGAAAGCATTTGAGGGCAATTCCAGAAAATGGAACCAAGACCACAGACTGAAATAGGCAACATATGTATAAGCAGAAAAGTGCCCAGGCTGTAAGAGGTGATATACTATAAATGTTAAAATATAGTTTCATGTCACCTCACAAACTGACCTACTAACATTGTTGAACCATCATGGATACAATAATTATGCCATTCCAGATTAAAATATAGGTAAAGCATAACATAGGAGATGTATTTGTGATATTTCTTTCTTGATAGCTGGCTTTAAGGATCTGAGTCCCACTGGTTTTAAAGAAAAAAAAAACCTAGCAAAGTACCGTGTGGTAAGAAGTGGGGTTCACAGTAGCGTGGCAAGCAGCAAATGGTCCTGTCCTGTTGGTTAGCATTCCACACCAGTGCAGAGCATACTTTTCTGTGAATAGAGGAAATGACGTGAATTCATACTCACACTTTTTGTATTGCATTAGATGTGGGAAGCTGCTGTTCATCTGCCCTTCAGTGAATCATATGCTTTCATAAAACCATTCAGAAATGACGCTTTGGTGACCACCACCTTTGTTTTGTTACGTTTCCTACTTTCCTAGTTTCATAATTATTAGGAGCTGGAAGGGACCTTACAGATCATCAGGTCCAGCTCCCCTGCACTTGGGCAGGAAAGACTTCTGGGATCTGTGAAAAACAGATCCTTGCCCTGGAATGAATGGAGGATGTACCAATGCCCCACAAACATTTGACTGCTGCACACCTATTCTGCTCTGAATCATCAGCTTGTATGCCATCTCTGAATCTGCAAAGATTGTAGTTTCCTGTTCTTGGACTGTTTCCTTGATTCTCACAGTTATTTTATTGCTTAACGTCTTAATAATTTCTTTTATAAATATTTTTTCTAGTTTCAAAAGTACATTTTACCAAGTTTGGACACTTTAATGCTGTTGATTTTTGCTCTAATGTCAAGTGCTTTTTGTCAACAACATTAGAACCACCCCCCCAGACAAATAATTTCAAATTGTTTGTACAATATGTCTTATGACAAAAAAAATCTGTGATGCACGTACCATTCTCTACACTGAGGGAGCAAGGGTTTTCAAAGCTATTTTTGATGTCAGTGCATGAAGCCTTTGTTTTCCAGGTATTAGCAAATGCAGCTCCTGTTCCTTCAACTACACCACTTATTATTTTGAAGTCATCAAGCTGGGCATTGTTGAAGTTTCCGCAGAGACCTGTTGAAAAAGCATTATGAACTTAAAACTTTTACACAAGTCCAAAGAGGATTTGGACAGGTTAGTATTTTTATGTTAAATTAACTTACCACAGGTCCGTCCTTTCAAAGATGGATCCAGTCGCACAAACACTTGCATGAAGGGCGTGACTTGGATCTCCATCTGGAGACCAAAATTTGTGTGCACGATAACAAAGAAGGATGAAGGTCTAAAGATGGTCACATCAGCTAAGGACAAAAAAAGCAGAACAATTCATTTCCAGATGAGACCAAATGCTATAAAACATTGCTTGATTGGTATGGCTTCTCTTCTTGGGCTTCTTGCTGCAACTATAGTGAATCTCAGTGAGGACATATACATGAGAAGTTTACTGTGGAGTTGCCTAATTTGCTTCATAGTAAATGTCTTGGCATCTACACAAGCAGTGCTATTAGGATGGAGTAAACTAATTAACTCTGCTGTAGGTTAGTACTTATAAACACAAGTATTATCCTTTGGTGGGATTATTTACTCCACAACACACGTGTAGACACTTGGCTGGAACACAACAGTGCTTTAGTGAAGGTGCTGCCTTCTGGCTAGCCCTGCACTGAAGCACCCTCATTCCCCAGCCAGTGGCCACCCCTGGAGACAACTGTGCTACAAGGACAACAAGCAGGGTCTGGATAATATAAAAATCTTACTGAATATCATTATGAGGACAGACAGCAAAAACAAATCAACATTGCAATAATGTGGACAGGAGACTGTAATGTCTCATAAATCTTTCTGTAAATCAGACTACCACCAGATGGGGCAAGAGGCATCACAGTGACAAATTACTACATGAACATGATAGGGTTTGGAAGTACATGCTACACTACATGCTAGTGACCCACAACATTCTGCTCTTCTGTAGCTTGAAATAATAGAGTGCTACCCACTGACCCTAAAAGAGAAACATACCTGTTGAGATGGGCAACTGAGTATAGAAACTGTTTAAAAACACACCACCATCAGGCTTAATCACAATGATCTGGCAAGGAAGAGAAATAAAGAAGTGTAGAGGAACAATGTGTCACTTAGTAATATTACAAGATGATATCCCAATACATCCTCATGTGTTTCATGGACAGAGGTTATTTCTCCAACTCTCCCCCTTTCATTATCTTGCACATTCTCTACCATAAAATAAATTGTTTTGGAGTCATTCTCATTTCTTTATAGAGCTCTAGCATAGGCCAGGACATCATGACTTCCACAGACACCAGGGTTCCTTGCATAGGCAACAGGTAGGGGGGCGTGGAGGGGCATGTAGCCACCCTCACAGGGCTGTCCCTTTGCCGACACCACTGATGGCTTCTGTGGGTGCTCACTAGCACCACCCCTGCTGCTAATGCCAGCTTCTGTGGGTGCTTGCCCACCCCGTCCCTGCTGCCAATGCCAGCTTCTACGTACCTCAGGGTACCGGGCACAGCTCATGAATGCTGCAATGCTGGGGCAGATATAGAGTCCCATAGGAGCATGGGGGGGGGACCCTGGGTGTCCCTCCAGACTCAGGAGGCACCAGTTGCCAAGCCAGGGAGGCATGGGGGCTCCCCCCTGCTCACTCCCTGGCGGACCCAGAAGTGGACTGGAAGTGTTTCTGGTTCACTTCTGGGTCTGCTGCCGAGCACGCTGGGGAGCCCCCCACGCTCCTGTGGGATGCTCCATCCACCCGGTCATCGTAGCATTCACAAGCCGTGCCTGGTACCTTGAGGTATGCAGAAAAAACATTTAAAGCTGTGTCTATGGCTAAACTGCCAAATCTTTCTGAATCTCTCCAAATCGATTTGGAGGCTTCCAATTTCATTTGGAGAGACTGAAGGGTCTCCTGATTTGATTTGGATCCGGACATTTGGCCACCAAATTGGGCTGAATCTCTGCCAAATCGAACCAGGGACTGAAGCTTCGCACAGCCCTAATGGTCAATACAGTTACTGGTTTTGTGAGAAGTCAAGAAATTCATGGATTATTCATTCTTTAGCAAAGGAAAGAAACTTTCTTTTGCTTTTTGAATCAAGTATTTTGAACTTACAAAACCTGAATGTAGTATTTACCTCATTATTATGACAGATAGATTTATTTTAATTTCATTTACAAAACTAAGATAAATTTGACAGGAATAGAAACCCTAGAGAAGTAGGAGCTAAACTTTTTGGCAAACGTGCTACAGATTAAGACCCATATCCTCTTAAACTAAT